GTTAATTCTTAGCTTTTAAATGACTACATGAATATATCTAGATATCTAGAATAAATGAAAGTCTTGAAAAGCAATGTTTTCACTGCAATACTGAGATGTTTTGAAAGAAAAAAAATTTTTCAGACTTTGTTTCAATCTCAAAATGCTACAAGCTTAAATAACTCAAGAGTATAACTCTTTACCATAAAGAACAGAGTTGGACAAGCTAAACTATGACTTGTGAGCCAAGCATGTTCAGTAAAAAGAGGAGGAGTACTGGAGAGACGGTGAGAAGAGCTATAAAATATATGAGTGGTGAGAGCTTTCGAGAAGAGGACCTTCTCACCATCCTTTCCTGGGATGAGCTACAGGTTGATTTAGGGGAATCCAGTGAAACTGGAGTTCATTCTCAGGTCCCTAGGGTTCATATGGGGAAGACTCCAAGCCCCACTGTGAATCCCTGAGTGCGAAGGGCAGAGTAGGAATGGGGGTTAGAACACCGGTACAGCTCCCCTATGTAATCCAGAGACTTCTAGAATACCCAGTATTCCAGGAGAATGACACAGAGACGGACAGAAAAGCAGCTGAGCGAGAACTAGGAGACCAGAGGGAGTTTATGAAAAGAAAATCCATGCCATTGGCAAATGCTGCCTAGGACCAAGCAGATTTGGTGGTAAGAGCCTTCAGCAATGGAGGCAGTGGAAAGAGAGGCCAGTACTGCAAGAGCAGATAAGAAATCCGACCAGCAGATGTCGTCAGAGACTAGACCTTGATCAAGAGCAAACGGATCTCCCCTCCCAATACCCAGGAGCTCTGGTGGCCTAGTGGCTAAGGCATGGGACTGCTAATCGGAAGGCTAGCGGTTCAAACCTGATTAGGCAATCTACTTCCATAGAGATACTGCCTTGGAAACCCAAGGAGGGGCTGAATATAGGTTGGATCCAACTCCACGGCAGTGAGTTTGGATTTTGGTTTCCCAATACCCAGGATACCCCACTCACCTACCTCATCTCCTTACTAGCCTAGAGACAATCCTATGAAGGAGGAAGGGGGGCAAGAAGTCACAAGATTGAAGGTGATTAGGTTAAATTAGGTGGAACCTTTGCACTGATAATCAAAATCTTACCGAATATTCCTCCAACCTGCTTTTCCAAATATATTCCCGTAACTGTCCTAGGCAAACCCATTCATTTCTCCACAAACGTCACATGCATTTTTCCCCTGCACAGTTAACATTTCTCCTTAGTTCTCTAAGTTTCTTGGATTATGCTTTATTTTTATCACTAACCCCAACCACATTTCCTAATATATAATGATGGTCAGCCAATGCTGCCTGGTGAACTAATGAACCATAGGAATGAAGGAGTTAATGAGTAAAAAATGAATGACTAAAATGTCCGTACTAGAGTCAGCTCCTGTTTTGGTTACCTAGTGTCACTCTGACAGCAATATACCACAAATGGGATGGCTTGATGAAACAGCAGTTTATTCTCTCATAGTTTGGAGGCTTTAAGTCTGAGTTCAAAGTGCCAGGTTCTAGGGTCTAGGTGAAAGCCCCTCAACCTTGGGCTTCAGCTCTGCCTCCTGCTCCCGGCCCACTGAAGCTGGAGGCTTTTTTTTACTCAGCTGCTGGCTGCTGAGACTGACAGCCCCAAGGTTGACAAGTAAAAAGGCACAGTCCCAATGTTACCAAACCACATAGCAGGCCATTAATTCAAGTCCATTGAAAGTTCCAAGGTCAGCAGAGCGTGGCAGGCTGCTGAATAATGACACGGCTACATGCAGGGTTCAAGGTGCCATAAACGTGAGACCATTCTCCAAGTCTTCTTCTTATGTACAGGAAGCAGACCACATACCTAAGGCAGCTCTACTCAGTTGCTCTCAGTAGATTCCACTATGAAGTTGATTACCAGTCTCATCATGGGGAATCCTACATCCAGTTGGCCAGCCACTCAGGGGCCCAGCCAAGTTGACACACAAACTTAACTGCCACAGCTCCCTATTTGAATTGACTCTTTCTAGGAATAATTGAAGTCCTACATTTTTCTAGGAAGGTATTAGGCATCATTTCAGTCCATATTTTTCTGAAACTCCAGTAACATATTGCCAATCATTGCTGTTTTAACATGTGTTATCTTGTACTGTTTTATAACTACATGTACCTATATTTTCAGTTTGTCTGGACATGTAATCACCTCCAAAAGTATAAACTTCTTGAGGACAGACTTTGTACTTCTGGTGAGGATTAAACAAGGTGAACAAATGTGAGCTCCTACGCCCATCCCTGTCCCTCTATTTTCCATAATGTCCACCAAACCAGAAGGGAAAAAAGAGAGAGAGAGCATGGTAAGGCAATACTACAACCAAAACTACGTCTTCTTCAGAACTCTCAAGTACTCAGAGGATAACTGAGTTCAACAATCCTTGTCAACTATCTCATTAGAGCAGGAAATCGTCACAGATTGTTTCCTGTTGTTTTCACGAGGAATGTTTATAGAGAAGGAACAACCATTAAAGAAGCCAAATCAAGAAGCACAAGGTGGTAGTCTTCAGCTAGGGGGTCACTCTCAGACCAATTCTGTGGCCACCTCCTGTGCTAATCACTTTAACACTTACACAGCATTTAGTGAGTTTTAGTGGGGATTAACATGAAAATGCAAGCTAGCATTATTGGCAACAATCTAGTAGAATGATGATTTTTAGCATTCACTCAAGTAAAATAGGAAAAATTGTATTTAGAAAGCAACTTAAATACTTAAGTGTACTAAGTCTGGAAAAGTTCTTTGAGTTACTGTACTAATTTTGCTTTCCTAAGCTACTCTTTCTTGATTCTCTGAGTATAAAATACCAAGTAGATGGTTTGGTACAAGAGACCATGCATTGCACTGAACTTTATAAATTTTCAAAATTTGTTGAGTCAGTGATCAACATAGATATCAATTGAATAAAAAAAGTGAAAATGAAAAATATTAGCCTTTATATTTCAGAAGACTTTTACGTTTTTATCTTTGCTTTCATATTTTTGCATTTTACACTTAATTTGCAGTTTACCCTAATGGCAATATTGCAGTCATTCATATATTTTCCACAAATTATCAAACACTGTATCTGCTCAGCATATTTGCATCGGTTGCGTTAATGCTTATCAATGTAATACTCCCTTCCTGGTTTTCACTATTTGTATGCATTTTCTGTCATATTCACATACTAAAACAAAGGAATACTAGGACCTATCTTTAGAACAATACGTTTGAATTTCCTCTCAAGCACAGATTTCCAGAGGACAAACCTAAATTTTTAAAGATCAATTACAGGACTTCAATTATATATTCTCTTATCAATATCAGGTTTATTTTTATTATTATATACATTTTAGTGAGTGGATAATAGTTTCTTTTTCTTAAGCAAAACTAAAATTTAACTCTGAATGGTTAAAAAAAAAAAAAAAAACCTCTGGCTTTCACAGATTGATTTTTGAAATAGAAGCTATTTATTTTAGAATGATTTATAAAATTACTTGTAACAAACAGATATAATTAGACGCCACATTTCGAAGCCTTTATTGTCTATTGGTTGTTGTTGTTGTTGTTATGTGCCATTGAGTCGCACCCGACTCATAGTGACCCTTCCTTGGGTTTCCGGTTGGTATCTACCTAGAATGACTCAATACCAAAGCCAATCTTTAAAATAGGCAAGTGTAATTTTTTCTTCTCATTTCCTTATATAATTGTATTAGGATGCTTACAAATTGTCTCTCCTATCCAGGCTTAAAGCAAACATAAATGATTGACGGAGAGAAATAAAGAATTAATTCCCTTCATGAATCACTGGTGATAGCTGACAACTCACTGAGGTCATTAGGACAGGCAGTTACTTCTGCTTACTTGTCACCTGACCCCTAGTTCCTAAAATGTCCTCTGGAATCACAGCAGAAAGGCTGAAATAGCTGTCTGAGGGAATTTAAACTGCTTCTGGGCTTAGAAATAGGATCTCTTCATAAACTCCTTTTAAAAAAAAAATCACTCCAATCACCCTCTACTTTTAAAATATCTCTGAATCCAAGAGCTGTTTTTGTTGGGTCTGTTAAGTTGATTCGGACTCATAGAGACTCCATTTGGCAGAGCAGCTCTGAGCTACGTAGTCTCCTAGACTTTGGTCCTTACAGAAGCACGTTACCAGGTCTTTCTCCCTCGGGAGTTGCCACAGCCCAGTGCTTAATCTCTGTGCCACCAGAGCTCTTTGAACACAAGAACATGTGTTGATCTTACATCGTAGCCCTTCTTCCCTGTACTGCTAGCCTTGAACATTTGTTGACTTGGTCCTCTGCATCATCCTATTGCAGTGAACCTCACGGGGCCCTTGACTCTCAGCATCTAGCATACGTCTGAAATCAGCCAAAAAACACTTGGGTAGTCTTTTTTTTTTCCCCCGGGTGATAAGCTTCCTTTGGAATGTTATATGGGATGTTATGTCCATTTGTTTCAGTTACCGTTTTCATAACACTATTCCATTTTGTACCTATATGACCACTCCCTAAATTCATTCATTTGAGTACCAATTTGTTATTTAGATTAACTTTGGAAATTAAAAAATATAGTATTGACAGCATAACTTAAAATAACCTCTATAGAACTTCTTGATTTCATTAAATAAAATACATATTCTATAACCTTAAGAGAAATAAAACTTCATTTATTCAATAAAATCTGCATGGTCATCTCAAACAGCAATTATTTCTACCTTTTATTTCTCTTCTCATTTTTATTCTCATTTTTTCAAATTATATTTTGTAACCTCAACAAAAATCTATACTTGCAGTCTATATGCTTCTTAAATATTTTCATAGCACATTTTAAAAACATTTCTTTATAAAGGTACTGTTTGAAATAGATCTACAAAAACTTTCAATAATTAGTACCTAATAAAAATGTTTCAGAGATGTTCCATATTTTAATAAGGTATGGAGGCCATTTCTTGCACCCTAATTTTAAATTTAAAATAAGTTAAATAAAATATCTTACCCCAGAAGTTTTCTGGCCATGGACTCCCTAAACTTGTTGTGTTATTAGCCATGATATCCACAGAAATAAAAGAAAAGGAAAACAGAAAAGAAGAAAAACACTTTGTGTCCAAAATGTCCAAAAGAAGCCCTTTGATTGTATGCCTTTGTGGTTCAGCAAGAGGAGAGTAATTTCCACACACCCCCTCATACACTTGTGTTTGCATAAAAGGAAGTAAGTATATCATGTTTCCTGCTTTTATACTCAAATTAGTAACTGTTTTTTTTCTTATCTTGGAATTCCACATGGTTCCTGAGACACAAAACAATTTCCTTCTCGTCACTTCCTCAGCTCGATTACTAAGTGCCCTCTTCTAAGCCACCTCCAAAATGGCTTTTGGGACAAGAGGCTCTTTTCCTTGGTCTTTGTCCATCCCCTACTGATATCCAGAGCAAGGTTCTACTTTCAGTTGGTTATGGAATTTGGGGTTAAATGAACATAGGCTGGTGAAAGAGACTGTTTCCAATGTTTGAAAATTGTCTTTATATAGTAAATCAAGGGCAGAAAACAATACAGAATTCCATATTATCTTCAAGTACAATAAGTTACTTGAATCCAATGTCTTTTTTAAAAACTAAAATTTAATTAGCAAAATTCTTTACATGTTATTTCTTTCAGTGACTTGACAGATTAATTTTGAAAAAGTAGTTCAATTCATTTAATACATAGTAACTTACAATTTTTCTTACTCCTCAATTGGTATTCAAACATGAAAAGATAGTTTCTACACTGAAAGAAACTATTTAAAATAAACTACAAGAAACAAATGCAAACATTCAATTACAACAGAATGTTAAGTGCTATAGAGAGCAGAACAATGATCACAGTTATTAATTTTATTAATTTTTCATGGAGAGGTCTGAGAAGCGAAATGATGTCTTTATACTGCATGAGAGTAGGAAAATTGTTTCAGGTAGAGAGCAAGTGAGAAGGTATTGTATGCAGAAAGGAGACCAAAAAGAGAGA